CTTATAGTCGATTCTTTGATATGTATCAGTACCATTTACTGAAACTTGGATATTCGTTGAGACTACCTGTTGCATTCTCTATTACATCATTTATATACGAATAAAAATAGTTGGACAAGTCGTATGAACGAAATGCAACTTTATGCAGTTATACTATTTTTTAAGTCAACAATTAAATTAGGCATGATGAAATGAATACGTAACATTATTTTTGAGCCAAATTAATTACGCTAATTAAGTTAACGTTATACAAGAAAGTCTTAATAACTTGTGTTAATTTATTAATAACTTGTTATTAAACATTTTATGTTACAATATAAACTACAAACCATTATCAATTTTTAGCTAAATTTTTTAATTTCTTTGTATTACTGAACTGTCCTGAGTTCTTAAGCACTGAAAGAAATATGTTTAGTATTTGTAACTATAATTACATATTACTATAATTATGATTATTATAATATTGTTGCGCCCGCGCGACACGTTATCACCCTCCCGAGCTGCAAAATAAAGGAACACACGTTTAAAAAGAAATTTTTCTTTATTCTTCGTAACAACGCATGTTACATGAGCGCAGAGGTGGGAAAGACACGTTCAGATATAGTAACAGTTCAATCCTAATCTGTCAAGAGATACAAAAACAGCTGATCTCTCTGCCAAGCTCCCTGGCGACGTGCTCTTCAATTCATCCACATTCCGCCGGTTACTCGACTCCATTCGCTTTGCATGCGTGCCGGCACGTCGCGGGCATAACAATATTAGTAATAATAATCATATGTATAGTTCGAGCAACAAATGTATATAGTTGGCAGCCTAAAATGACTATATTTACAGTTATTATTATAACCATAAAAATAATTCTAATTACTATAATCTTATAGTCATTTTTTTGGGATATGTTTAAAAAAATTTGAATTATTTTTATGGCAATTTCAATCCTTTTTATGGTTGTAATAACTATAATGATAGTCATTTTAGATTGCTAACTATGATTCACAGTGGTTGAACAATATTAAGAATACATCCACTTATTAATGTTTTCAATATACAGGGTGTCCTACAATTTTTGGCCAAACGCTTTTGTGTAAATAGAGCGGACTAAACTGAATCGAAAGGTCCTCTACGATTTGCAGTGTTTGCAATAGTTAATGAGATATTAATTACTAAAAATTGCCGAATATATTGGTCTTCAATAATTTTTTACTCAAATCAACTTTATAGAAAAACAGTAAGAGACAAAATTGTTTATTTATTTTCTCAAAAAGCTCTAAGAATTTTTTAAAATTTTTTATCAACTTTTTAGTATTGCACTTTCTTATTGGCAATACATGAGCTATTACGTATTAAAATCTACGTACTTAAAATTATAAATTTATTTAGATTTAAGCATTTTCATTTTTTTGAATTTAATGTTTCTGTTTTAACATGAAATTAAATTGTACTTACATTTCCAAAATTTGCAAAGGAGAGACTTAATAATCTTCCAGCAGTTATTTGTACCGGATGTCCAGACATATTAATCATCAGCATTAAATCAAGAGCGACTTTTCCCGGTAAATTATACCATTCGATTTTATATGTAGTATTCCCGACTTTGCTGCACTGTGTATCCAATTTTGTATATTTACGGATTACATATACAAATCAGTTGAGCATATTATTTAAATACATACAGAATCGGTCGAAATTAAATTCTGCGAAATCAGGATATTATTACATTTAAACAACAAATAGATATTTTGCGATAACATCCTGCGGATTGGCGTATATGCTCCTTATTGTTTATTAAATTTAAAATATTTTTTAACATATGTCACTTAATTTACATGATTAACGTTCGTAGGAAGCTCAAGTACGCCAAGCTAGTTTGCAGTACCTAAAAAGATTATATTAAATAAATTATTAAACCATGATGATATTTCTGCATAATTAAGTTTTTGCAATTTTTAGACTGAATCTATTGCTACATTTGTTACATAAGAATATTATCAAATAATTTTAGAGATATTGATGTTTTTCATAGAATTATTGCAAATTTTGTTTTAAAATTGAAAGAATAAAAGTCTAAAGATAGAAATGAAATTAATAAATGTAGGTAATGTGCCTCACACTTCTAAAAGATTTTAATGACAGGTCTACCATTCTACCAGCAGTAAGTTTTATAGGATGACTGGACATCGCTATTATCAATATAAGGCCGCGAGCTGATTTTGGCGATAGTTGATACCAATCAATCATGTAGCATATCGATCCAATCTGAGTGCTCTGCAAAACCAGTCGCGAACGATTACTCAGTTATGATTAACATTGTTGAAATTAAACGTAGCGTGTCAGAAAAACAAAGAAACAATATACCTTTTCCATAAGAAGCTCACCGATGTAACATAATATATAAATATTGAAACAGAATGACACAAGGAGGAGAAAAAAAGTAGCAAAACTAAGTCTATCGTCTGCTGTCCAATCCTATTAAATTTTAAATAGCACATATAATTTTATAATTCGTTAAGAGTTATTGAATTTTTTTTTCCTTTAGTATGTGTTAGCGCACCGCTATACAGTAGTATTCGAGTAGACATATCGTGCATACAGAACTAGTGAACTCTACTAAACACACTTCTTGTAAAACTTCTTCCACTTTTGCCCCAAACCTGGAATAAGTTATTCCAGTTTATATGAAAGAGAATGCATTGCTTCACTTATTCTAATTATAACGAGTTGTATTAAGTTGGAACAAAAATTCGTAACGTTACCTTATTTATATCATGTCTACATGTTTTTACAAAAATTTGACAATTATATATACCATTACATATCATTTGATAAAACAATTTCATCTTTAAGAATCTGTTTTTTAAATTTGCATTACTATGATTTTTGACAGAGGTATGAATAATCAAAGTCCTTTCTTCTTATTTAATCCGTGATAATTCAATAAAAAATGTTAGGAACGTTTTTCAAAACGATTTTGTAGGAAAAATT